GCTCCAACTCAAGGGTGAATTCACATTCCAGCTGGAGCTCAGTAGTTTAGCTGTCAATAATCCCAGGAAAATGAAGCTAAAGAGATCCTCCTAGAGGACTGGAACATACTGGTAAGGGAAATTTGAAGAAAATATTGCACCAGCTGTGTTTCATTTCATTCACATATAAAAAGAGAGGGTTTATTTCAGTGCTAGTAAAACTGGCAATACAATTAGCTCTGCTCTTACATGAGCTCTACATAAAAAATTTGTGTGCTTTCCTGTGAAACATTTTGTGTCATAATCCATCATCCTTGACTGATACTCTCTCCCTCATTTGGTTTTGTGAGCTGATCTGATAGTCTTTGCTACGGACACATAACGGAGAACACTGCTGAATAAAACAATGGACAAAGTAGAAAGACAATACGGGATTTATAGCTGAAGAAAATGTTGCCCTTATTCAATCTATTTCATATGATGCATATTTGTGGTCTAGAAAAAGTTATTTGCACTTGAAACAGATAAAACTGTACGCTTAAAGTCTGTGCCCAAATGTTTATTACATCCAATCTGATATATGCCTCTCAAAAGAGCTCCTGATGTAATTTGGCAATTTAGATAAGGTGATGCAAATATTTTCCTGATTAGAGATCCAGTAAGAACCCAGAGAGCTTTGCCATTGTAGCTGAATGTACAAACGGTCATACTTAATTTCAGGGAGTAAATAAAAAAGCTCAATTAAGTACCACATGAAAAAGACTTATTTGAGCTGACCTGTCTAATTTTACCCTCCAAAATGAAGTAGGAATAATCCTATTATTTGTTAAAACTGTATCTTCAATATGATTTCAAAATCTTTGAAGGTCTATATGTAGAGGGAAGATATTATAAACTTATTTGGGGGAAGGAGAAAAAAGAGAGGGGAATGGTTTTAGCTATAGGAAACACTATCGAGGGTTGTATTCATATGAGGTAATTATCATTAAAAACAAAACAAACTTCACAGCAAATATGGAAAGAATCCACATCAATTGTTGTCAAGGGAAGCTACATAACTCTCTGGGACATTTGCATCCAGGTTAATTTTCATCCCTTTATTTTCATAATACATATGTAATACAAGTAAGAATTTGGAGCAGTAACAGTTATAATGCATGTCCATGCTGAGGTGCTAAAAAGTAATTTTCTGTAAAAGCATTATGCCTATGACCTACCCCTCTCATATTGCCAGAAATAGGAATGCACACACATGAAGTGGGGAGACCTAAGGACCTGGGACGGAGAGTTCTGAGGCTTTTGGGCATGAGTCTGCTTTCACAGGATAAAGATCACTCCTCCATTACCAAACCAAGAAGGTCAACTTATTCAATTATGAGGAGCTGGAATAAGCTAATATAACATATAAAAAAATGTAAAATTTAGTCCTGCTTCATTTACAGAAGGGGAAAGACACTGGCAGATAAAGGGGAAGCTACAAAGTTTATAATTGGAATTTAAAATTCTTGTGGCAATTGAATTACCTAACAGTTTATAACTTACAAAAAAACCCAAAACAAGCTATGATGCATTGGTAATAACATATGCAGATGTCTGTATACTACTGAAGGCATGTGCACTGCAGTGACATGTGACCACATTACGGAGCAGAATCTATTTGAATGTTGCTGAAAACAACTGAGATTGCTACACAGAATAGGGTCATTAAACCATTTATGAAACAAAACAAGTGGTCAAATCACCTACTGATTCACAGCAAGTCAGTTATTAACATCCTTGATGTCTGAATTTGCAGAGAAATCATTGACACTGGGCTGACTTTTCCATACCACTCGAATACTGGCCAGGCTTGCCTTTCTCTGAGCCAGAGCCATCTGTCAGCAATGTGTCACAACTAATGAACCTTCCAAACAAAGAGGGTGAGTGGATCTCTCCACTGTCAGTAACCAAGGATAGCAGGTTGTTATTTCAGATCTGAAGAATGTAGTTGTGATAGTTTTGAAGTAAGTTCCTATGTATGTACTTATAAACCTTTTACTCTTAGGACTGCTCCAGTCACCACAGTGGACTAACCATTAAGGAAATCTATTTTGGAGTGTATAATTTAAGTGAAAAGTGCTGCACTTTCTTCAATCTCTAGTCCTGGAGCTCTGTATGCATAGCAGTGTTGGCTGTATAACAGTGACTAATAGCAATGTTCCTATTCTCTGCAGAACTAATGTGTTTTGGGAAAAGCTGCTATTTTGCATTTCATTCAGATTGATGTAAACACCATCAACCTTTAGCAAAATTTTATTCTAATATAAGAAAGATTTGTATCTAATTTGTATCAAAGCGTCATATACAAATAAGGGCACTTAAACCAAGTGGTGGTCTCCAGAGGCTTCTTTTCCCCATTCTGATTGTCTCCCTCTTTAGTGTTACTTTTGCTCTTTTAGAAGTGTCTAAGTCTGAAAAAACAGAGGCATTAAATTGATCATTAAATCACAAAACATCCATCTAAATATCATAAAACCTTCAACTTAAAACAAGAAAGCAAGCAAAGGGTTATAATTTCAAAATGTGAATTAATTCTTAAGTGACAAGTGCATGCAACCATATCTAAGATCTGTATTTCCTGAAAGATGGATGTGCCAGTGTTCCATGCTGAAGATGAGACTGCTAATTTTCTTCCTGAGAACAGGTACAGCACTTGACACACAGCCTTGTGCTGGTTTTACTTAACTCAATGGGAAGGCAGGTCCCAACAAAGACATGTGTGCCCTGAAATGCAGAAGCTGGAGCTGCTGGACTGGAGGCTGGCACTGCTGTTGGTGGTGCCCTGCCTGCTAGCCCTGTCAGAGGATTATTAACAAAGAAGGAGCTAGAAAAGTTCCAAACCTCCCTGGTCCTCCATGTCACCTGATATCTTTATCAGCAACAGGAAGGCTGCTGGCACTTTTTTACTTAAAAGACCCACTGAGGCAGACTTAACTTCTCCTTTACGCACAGGCCTTTGAGGAGCCTTTGAGGATGCGAAGGGCACAGGGACTGGCTGTAAAATGAAGACGCTTGCCAAGGAGACAGCTTACTTTTAACATTGTTTGCCTCTAGATTAACCATGGAGGCTTCCTGTACAGCCTTCCACATGTCTAAATCCACAAAAGCTGCTTGGGAAAAAGAGTCACATAACAAAAAGCAGCACGCAATAATTCAGGTTGGGGTAGCAGGGAAGACGCACCGTGTGTGCTGTTACAGGGAGAGAGCAGTAAATCCATGTTTTAATGGTAAACAGAGAGCTTTATATTACTACTACAACAAAACCAGAACACTAGTTTGGAGAGAAGAATGTTTGAAGTACAAAAATTGTATTTATTCATTTTTTAAAGAAAACCAACCCCCAAACTGACCAGAGCCTGCTCACACAGCAGAGCTAAAGATGCAGTTATAAAGCAGAGCACAGATGAAATCTGTCTCCAGAGGCAGCATAAAGGCTGCAGATCAAGATTTTGAATGCAGCCATCAAAGTAATTTCTGATATCATTACACAGTTTACTGAAAGAGCAAATTCTGTAAGCTGTGATTTAGGACTGCTCCTGATTTAAGTGAGCAGTGCTAAGACCTGGACAAAAAGCAATCAGTGGATTTTTCATAAGCTATTTGTCAGCCACAGGTTAAAACTCTTCGCATGGGAAACGCAGTTGGAAACAGATTATTTCAAGCACCTTGTACAAACTCCTACAAGAAGCAATAAACACCTTAAATGTAATTTTCTTTTCCAAACACACTTTGACCTTGTTTTTGCTAACAAATATAGTGTATATATATATGGAATTAGAATCTTAACAAACTGCATTTGACAGTGAGTCCTTGGTGACTGAAGTCTGGGAGAGTGTTCACATGCAATACCTGCAACAAATCCATAATAAACGTAATTATTGACTTGGAACAGTTAGACACTTATAGGAGTAGTGTGGAGTAGCTTACAACACTCAGCTGAGATATTTAAATAACATTATTCCTTTTTGATAACATGGTCTATATTATGCATATTTTTCATGTCATACTTCTAGGGAATAGATCAACTGCATTTCTTGTGTAAGTATTCTGAGAAACAATCTAGCTGGGGAAAAGGCATTGTGTTTAGTGCAAAACTAGCATTTAACCTTGAAGAACAGTGCAAAAAACACTGCTGAAAAATTCACAGTAATCCAGTAATTCTTACGATCTCATAGTTTGTTCATAAACCCACATAGAAAGTATTTTCTTTTGACTTTTTGAGTGTGTTAGGCCTTGTTTGAAGGCATCTTATTGCTTCACCAGTAGTAGTGCTGTTTTCAGAGTGGATACTTCTAGAGGCAGAGACCTATACCTATAGAAAAACTATATTCTTTAAACTACTAAACTGCCCTGACTTAATGGAATTGTTAAAAACTGTATTTTAGGTATGTGCTTATAAAACAGTTAAAAGTTGTTCTGTGAATATGACTTGGGTTCTTCCCAAATATAACAGTCAAAGTAGTTACAATAAAAAGTGCAGATTAAAGGTTTCAGTTTTACAGTTTGAAACTATGACTGTGTAGGCAACCAATTTTCTCTTAACCTTACGAGAAAAGCTAATCACTGCACCAGAAATCACCAGAAAGCTAAATTACTGCACCAGAAACTTGTACTGAAGGTATCTTCAAGTACATCTTTTGACCATCAAGAAGACTGCAAAAATCTAAGTATAATGACTTCGGAAAAATAAAAGGGTAATAACTTGAAGTAGTTCTTTTGCACTAAGGCTGTTTGTCTGTGGCCCTAAAAAGCAGTTCTGTCTTTTTCAATTTTTTAAATAAAGAAAGTCTGACTTTCAAGAACATTATCTCCTAAAGACAGACTTTACCTTTTCTTAAAGCTATCGCCCCGTTTACTGTATCAAAAACTTTTATATAAGAACTTGTAAATTCCATGCTTTTCAGCCAATTCTGTCATATACCATAGCTAATGCTGTATTTAGACTGTAATAATGTGAAACTGATCTTCACCAAAAATATAGCAGGTTTTAAGTTTATTTCTGAAATGTTGATATACACTGTATTAGTTACAGATTTTTTAAAAAGTTATAATAATGAAGTGGGTTGAAGTTTTAATATAATGACAAAATTCAAAATATGAAGAAATCTGAATATTGCAACAGTTCTCTGTTGTCACGTTGCCATCCAGGTAATGGTGTTTCAGTCTTATTTCTGGCCAAGTTGGGACAGCTAAACATGAAGAGACAGAAAATCATTAGGTTGCTGATCTTATTCTTTCAGTCAAACTAATATCTAGTTCATACAATAAATACTCTGTCCTATAAGCTTTGTTTGTCTCTGACAACCAAAAGTATGGTGGTATACCTACACAGGACAGGATCTGAGCTTCAAATCTTCAGATTTGAATCAATCTCAAGAGGTAAAGGTACAGTGCACACAGTCAAAACAACAAAAACGGTAATAAAGCTGAGTGAGGAGTTAAAAGCTGGTAAGTACCATTGGTTTCCTTCAAGTACAATAAGAATTAATTTAGTTCTTTAAAATGTAGTTTTAAATAATAATTTTTCACACCTTAGTAGGACTTGAAACCATAGGTGGTGACAGCTACAGAAGGGCTGCCATTTGCTGACCATCGTGAATAACTTTTACTTTGCATTTGTGTTGGAATGAGGCATAGAGAAGAAACAGTAATGATGATGCTTTTAACAGCACTAAAAGACTGATTTTAGTACAGGTATGGACATCAAGGTCCCACTAGGCCATTATATTTATAAACCAGGACAAAGTTTGAAAGATCTTGTAACTTGAAAAAGCTACAAGAATAGCCTGGAGAGACATACTATTTGTGAAAACAGCCAGAACTGAGTAAATTTTTTTCCTGTAGGATTTATGTAAAGGCAATTATCATGAACTTGTTCACCTGCATTACCTGTGAACTCACATTGATAATACAGGCCTTCAAAAGTTAATTAGAAAAATCACTTCAAATCCTTATACTTCAAGGAAGTAAAAACAGATGACAGGAACATGTATTAATCTTTCACAAATTAGTTTGGGTTTTTTTTTTTGTAAAATCCATGGACAGTTGTAGAGTTATATAAGTCAACACACAGCTAAAGAAGTAATAAATATTACAAAGATTACCAAAGTCATCTACCTGTTTTATAAACTGTGTAGCATTAAAAAGTTCACTGCAGCCATACAGGACATGTTTGCCTTGTTTACCCTAGAAAAGAAAAGTCCATAAGAAATTAAATGTTAACAGAATAGCAGAAGTGACTTACACTAATTGCATATCAAAAGAACCCAATAAAATCTTGATCATGATGAAGTCTTACACTTTTGGCTGGAAAAAAAATAGATGTTCCACCAGAGGAAGAAACCTCTAATTAAACTGAAGTGGAAAATGAGGGAGTACAGGCAGAAAGAAAGTGGAAAAATAGGGCATTTTACACATTTAAACTCACTAGAATCCTAAGCTCTCTGACACATCTGTGAATGGCTTGGGGAGGCCAACAACCTTCCTTGAGCAAAGCCTGCTCCCTAAAATAACTGAACAATGTGCTAAGAATATTACCAACATATTTACAGTTTCTTTTGAGTTAGAGCCTGAAAACTTCAACCTGTAATTTATTTCCATATGATGATATTAAAAGCAGCATATTTTTTTGTACAGGGATTCTGAAAAATAATGTTTTGTTGATTTCAACAGGATGCATAAGAAACTTAGTTTGTAGTTTCACAGTATTCACTTGATACAGTAAGGCTACCAAAGTGCTGTGTTAGCATTTGGGAAGTGAAAATTAGTTTAAGTAATATATAATCTCAGATTGAGTCTACTTCATGTTGGGCTAATAAATCCTATGGGTCCTCAAAGTTCAAGCACAGGCTTGAGACATCTGTTTTGCTGTTAAATTATTTTGCCTTTTCTCATATTAATTAGGTACAATTAACCCTTTAAAGAGCAAAATATAAACATAAGCCTTGACAAAGTGATGGTTTCACCTATACTGCCAATTGTGCCATTTCAGCAGAAAGCAACAGAAGCAGATTTGAACAGTCCTTAGCTAACTGGGGGGACAGTAGTCCTGGTTCAAGTCCTCATCTTTATTAATTTTGAGTGTTTTGTGGTAATAAGCTATCCTTGTTGCTGAACAAGATCTTGAGCTTGCATCTTCACACATTTCAGTCCATTTTAAAAAATCTTGATGTCCAAACAGGTTTGGTTGTATTCTAAGTGGTATTTTGACAGATTCCACTTTCAGCAGTGTGACTGAGTAGTATTTGCTTCTGTCTCTTACCAAAGAAAGATTTTAAACTATACAAACAACTGTGAAATGGAACTGCTGCCTTTCAGGCAGCTCTAAAAAACATGAATGTACACTTCCAGTTTGTCATATATGGTCTTTTAAAAGTGTAATTTTAAAAATGTGCATGCTTTTCACGTTCATTACTTAGTCCATTTGAACAAAGAGCTGTATCTCCAAATATCTACTGGAGCCAAATTGAAACTGCTTAATATCTGACAAAAAAATTAAAATAATCTCAGTACTCTTCAAAGTTCAGTATTTCTTAATGACTGAAAAACTATGGTGGATTTAAATTTCTTGTGATAAATTATAACATCTGTCACAGGTGGACTGGAACAGATTACCAAGCGGTACCTTTCTAACCATCTACAAAAGGAAATTAAAGGATAAGTTACATTCTTTTGTTCAGAACAGTATGTTAGCCTCCTCTTGGAGACTCCCTATGGCTTACAATTTTCATGACATGTTTTCAGCATGTTGAACTCAACTCAGCCAATATATTTATTTTAAGGCGCAATCTGCCTTAAAGACATTATAAATATTTCCTTTTTGATGATGTGAGATAGTCCATTCTAGCACAGAACTGCAAATAGTTGGATTTGAGGGTTCCTCTTAATTCTTCTACAAAATACTCCCATAATGTCAAAGCCGAATGAACATTGTCTCCTGTTTTAGAAAGTTTTAAAATACTTTCTCTGTGCTTTCAGAGGCAAACTCACAAAATGGATAGTGCTTAGAAAAATAAAGCAGTGAATAAAATCTCTGTGGTGTCTGCTTGCAAAAACAGGACTGTTGATTTTTCTCTTTTTTTACTCTGGAGGAAGACTCATTGAATATGAGAATAATTAATAAGCTACATCTGTTGAAACAAAAGATGCTGAATGTGTACCACATTAAAAAGCAAATTTTATTGGATAAGCCTGTAAGAGTCACCTGGGAGAGGCAGACAACTCTGGGTGGTGGGAGGTAGAACTGAGGTTTTCGTTAACCTTCCTTGATTTTTTCAAGAGCAGTGAGCTAAGTGGAATAAAGGTGAGGGAGTTTCCCCCCTTGGGGGTCATCTCCCACTGCTCAAGTGTGCAGTCTGACTGGAGAGACACACGCTGCCCTTCAGCTGTGACAACTGAAGATGAAAATCCTCTGTTTACAGGTCCAGAAGAAGAAAAAGTAAGTGCAACTTCTGATGAAGTTCGATCCACAAGATCTGACATTACCATTCCTGTAGTTTTCAGTTCCTTCTGTCCTCTCTGTTTATCAAATGACTTCCTGTTTGCCTTCTTATCCCTCAGAAACTTCAGCTTCCTGCCACTTTGTGTGAAGCACCGAGTGTTTAACTTGTCATCATACACATGCCCCATATATACACGTACACAGCAAACCTCAGCTCTGTCAGTATGCAGCTACAGAGAAGTGTATTAACCTCTAGGGAATCCAGAGGGGTTTTTTTACTAGGAAGTAACAAATATACACCACAAATACACGTTGCTGGGCATCTTTTGAATTGATATAGTAGCTGAAGTGGCTTTGGATAAACTAAGGAGCAAGCTAAATATCTGACAATGCACACTGCTACAGGCAGATGTCTCACTGAATTAGTTATCAAGACAGTGATAAGTGCTAAGCTGAATCTAAATTATTTCTCTAATTTACATTCCTTTTCTCCTTTCCCTATCCAGACCAGCTCTGGATGCCTGTTAGAGAGGGAAAACAACTCAGCACACACACACGTTCTGACTTTGCATTCTTCAAGATTTACCTGGACATAAAACTCTCACATATTTGTTTTGTGGAAGAAGTGTTTTTCAGTGACTAATGCTCATTATTTATTCTTTTGTGTGAAAAGCCTCAATCCTGTCGAGCTCAGGACAGGACAATTGTACCATGAACAAGGTTAAGGTCAGGAAGAAAGAATGGTATGCCGCTGCTCTTAAATAATTTATTACCTTCTTCAAAACCTTACCAAGATTCCTTTTGCATTTGTTAAAATTTATATTCCTGCTAAGTGCTTGAATACCACCCCTGCTCACAGGAACTGTAATCATTTAGTTACTTTTCTCCATCCATTGCTTTTTGGTATACATGTGTTCTGCTAGGCTGTCCAGCTGGAACCAGAGAAATTAAATCTGTGACACCAGCATTTTACATAGCTGGTTATATATTTTCTTCTTTGTGCTTATGACACCTCTTACGATTTCTACAAATGATGCAGTGTAGCAAGAATGAGCTTCCGTTGACTCAGTAGTAAAAGCTTCTAAATGTGGGTAAGTAATAAATACTTAGAAATTGCTGCCAATCTGATCTTTGCTTTGACACCCAGCACAGTATTTGTGTTATGCTGGCTTCTGAAACAACACATATAATGCTCAAGACTGTCATAAAGTAAGATACTGTATCTTATTTTACTGTTATCTGTAGGTCTTATTCTGAACTGACTCCATATTGCTAAGTTGCATATGAAAAAGCACTCTAGTGTCTTTCTTGTGAGATTTATGAAAACTACAGATTATAAGCAGTTCCTTACTTTCAAGATTATGATACGCTACAGCTGCTTTGCTTAATAACAGCACATGAAAACTAGTAACAAGACTCTAACACAATACGAACAGCCAAACTGACAACATTTGATGCATGAGTGCAGAAGACAGGTTAATTCAGTTAGCTACATTTGCTGACAGTTTTCAACTGCGTTAGTGTGTATGACAAAATAAAGAAGAATGCAGTTTATTTACTCAATTCCAAATACCAGAAACAGTAACTCTTTGTTGGTCGGAATTATAATCCACATTTTCTACTTTTTTCTTACATTTTTCCCCCAGACTCTGTATATAATAAAGATGTTAAAGCTAATTTCATAGGTTTGATCTTCTAAATGCTAAATGTTACAGAATACCTGCTCTAACTGGTTTCTATCAGTAAGTTACAGACTGACTGAAGTGCACATACCTTTATGTAGTCAATAAGATTCTGATATTCAATATAGTTGCCTCCTCCAACTACAAACACTATCGCCTAAAAGGCAACACACACATTATCAGAGCATGCATTCAAATTCTTAAAATTTCAGCAGAAAAATACCAAATCATCCCAATCACACGGTGGCCTAATAAGAACTGGAACAGAACCACTAACTTCCTACCTGAAGGAAGGTATTAAAAGAGTTTTGGTAGGATGTAAAACAGCAAGCTGAGGGTTTTAACACGTCACTATCTTCTATTAAGAAATACATGAAACATATGCAGTTTCAGCATGTTATTTATTTTGTATGGAGATGTCTCCATTGACCATAGGAACAGTTAAAATATTTTCATGGATGCTTAAGAATTCATTTGGCCCATAAATAAAAAACTTCTGTTTTAAAGGAATGCATTTTTTTCCCCTTCCCACTTATTACTGGTAATCTATAATACTGCAGGTAAAGACCATCAGTATTTTCTGGGCTATGTTTAAAAGAGAACAATTAAAGACTAGAAAAAGGAGACTCAGCAATTGTATTATTGGTGCTGACATTCACTATCCAAAATTGTTTGACTATACTATATGAATTTTATATAGACTTTATGTTACTACTGACATTTTTGCTATGACCTTCTGCTAGCCATATATATATATATATATTTATGATACCACATGGTATTTCTTTTGTTCTGGAGGGGAATTAGGACATTTTAGGAGAAACATGATACATCTGTATATTGCCAAGGCAAAGATTTTGCTTATGAAACTTGATAGTAAGATCAGCTAAGTTAAGACTTCTACTATTTGCAAATATTTATGTTGACAAATACTGAAAGTTACAGGCATTTGTATGAAAGGACAACATTCATTATTTTGCTCCTCTCCTTTAATAGCAGAAGCTGTTTAAAACAGTCATGTACATCAGTGGCCAACACTGCCTATTAAGGCTGAACAAAGGATTAAATCTAGAGAGCATTCTGAAGATCTGGTATAAAAATGGTGGCTTAAATTGCTCAGTACCCAATATTAGTAAATCCCTGCAATTCCCTCCAGAAGAGTCTTCTAGACATTTTATCTCCAATATTAGCTGATGCTTACATAGTCCTTTGAAGATGAAAAGGCTTCTTCAGAATAACAGCTAATTATAATTAATACTGGATATAATTAGATTAAGTGCTTTTTTTGCAAAGAAGACCTCTCATTTTCTTAATCATGATCATCAAAAATGACTGGTATTTCAGGATATATTTATTTTTAACACAGGAATATTGAAAAATAATTTCTGTGTGACTTACCTCCTGGAATGGGTTTTTATTTCTTGGAACTGAGCTATAAAAAGAAACACACAAAAATACAACTCAAATTTCATTACACCTTAATATAAATGTGCAAAATAAATATAATGTACACATCATGTTTACAGAATACCATATAATATTAGACAAAAGATATAAAATAGAATAATAATTGCCTTTCTGCATTCATTTGCCAAGTATTTAAATGATTTGTTATGGAGAATCATTCACTCTACACGACTGAATAAATGAATAAATAGGAGGTCTATTTTATCATTTTTAAGGTTGCTGTTTGATTCATAAGCTTTATGACAACAATTCTTCCAGAGTTTAAAAGCTCTAACTATAGTGCTGTTACCTAGGAGCAAATATAATGAGTAAAAAATGTCATTAGCACTAGCACGGTTCATGGCACTTAGAAATCCCGTCTCCTGGAACCTGAACTAAGTAAGACAGTCAGTTTGCAGTCCCTGCATATATGTATTTCGTGATACTTCAGAATCTCAAGAACTACTACAGGCATCAGGTATGTAGGATTAAAACGACTTAATGAGGAAAAGGTAAGTTACAGCTTGGGTTGTACAGACTCTTCCCCTCCATTTGAATACACAGACAGGTAGCAGGTAGAGGGGCGAAACATCTTTGCCTGCATCCCCTTGCACCTTTAGGAGGAAGGGGGAAGTGAAGAGCAAGCTGTGAAGGCTCGGTCTGCTCTCCTGCCCTTTGCTCACACAGTACCACTACCTTTCTGCCTTTTACTGCCCTGCAGCCCCAGGTAGGCTGATTAAAACATTGATTCCAACACACATTAAAAGCATTGCATTCCCCCCTTCAACTTATCTTTTCCCTTATTTCAAGCAGTTTTCTCTGAGTGACCAACAAAAATTGACTCAACACAGATTCCAGTGTATCAGAAAAACGGGTTTTAAAAGGGAATAGCTTTCTCTAATGTTCTGTCTGTCATGAACACTACAGATTCCCCATAAGTGGAACTTCCACGCATACATTTCGTGCCATCCTTTCTAGGGACACGGCCTGTTTATACTTGATGTAGGCTTTACACAAGATGTAAAGATACTGTTTTGCTAACACTGAAATACAGTAGTGCAGTCCTGATCTATTTAAAACATAATGGGTAGAAATGCCAGTGTTTCTTAAAATGGGAGTAGATTAGAAAATAAAATTAGTCAGTTTTCAATATAATTCCATTAATTATACTATATGATATTATTATTTTAAACTAGTAATACTTTGTCAAGCCAGCAAACCTATGTTTTTTATCATCTACATAAATATTTGAAAGGACAATTACACAAACCCCTATATGGCTATACTAGAGTTTTGCTGTCGTGCACAAATGTGATTTAAGGAATATAACTCACGTTTATCTACAAAATCCCAACCAGAAATTAAAAGCTTTTCCCTCTGATGACTATTATAGCTATGAAGAATGACATATTTATGAACTGCTGTAAGTGCATATATTTACATTGGTTAAAGCCACATAAGAACTACATGGAGTGGGTAAAAAAGCACATTTACATGAGAAAAACCCATTGGCTTTAGTGAAACAAATCTTTGCACTTTTGCACAAAATCCACCAAAAATACTATAAAAGCATCACAAAACAATGAAAGTTTCAATTAAAATAAAACATATAATACTGGCAATTTTCTTTTAAAATTTGCTAATCTTTGAAATTATATAATCTGTAATATTTTTCAATAAAACATATGTATTATCTGAAATTTATTTCCTATTACTTTCCACGTTTCAAGAACACATGAAACAGAGGCAGATTTTTCATGTAAATAACTAAAACCAAACCTGGACCTACTTTATCCACATTTGTCCTGTAATAAACTTCTGCAACTAAATGAGCTGACTGCACAGGTTCGACTCAAATTATTTTTAGAAGGCATATTAAAATTAAGTATCTTCTCTGTTTCTAGGATATTAGATTAGGTGAGATTATCAGCCACACTTATTGATCAAAGACATACAGCAAAAGATAAAAATTTATAAAATTCTAGTGTAATTCCTCTTCTTCTCTTTTACTGGCAAAAGAAACTATAGCCAAGTCTCTCTTCATATGCTCATGAACATAAAATGTGCACCTACCTATACAAAAGCAAATGCAGTTAATTTTTAATGATTTTTTTTCCAAACTTATTAACAAATTACTAAAGAAGGGTTGTATTCAAATCAAAATTGTAACTGTTTAAAAAGTGACAAATTTTGGTGCACTATCCAATGACTATTGAATTTAACAGTGAAAGCCCCAAAAGTTTCAAAGAAACCTAGCAGTACAACTATGAAAAATTCTAACATTTATTATTGCTACATATTATTTTTATACATTTCCATGACTGAACTGATGTACATGTTAGCAGCATGTTCAGTCACTGGAATAAAACATTTGTGTAAAAATGTATCTCGTTGATCCAAGTTCCCATTGTGAATTCCTTCAACACCAACTGTCCTGACTTAGAATTAATGATTAAAATTAATTACTTGTAGTGAGCAAGCAAAATAAAACCAGATTTCTTAAGTTAGCCTTTTCACAGGGTACAAGGAAAGAAGCAAAACTCATAGTAAACTCACCTGTCACTGCCTCGTAGCATCTTGGGGTCAAAATACCGGTAGTCATCTGTATCCTATTAAAAATGATATTTTTATCTCAAAAGGTTGGACTTTTGGCTTATGAATTTCTGCTTGTATCTATTACATTAAACATAGTTCAAACCACGATAATTTCCCATCACATCATTCAAAATTAATTGTGGTGTCCACCAATATTTGTAAAATTTGTACATAACTGAGTCAGTACAGAATAAACAACAGTGAGAAGCTATGAAGAAGCTATTGAGCTTTTTATTTCTGGTTCATCTAAAACTGACTATCACACACTTTCCAAAAAATACACTGGTTGCATAATAAATCCCAACAGCAAAGTGGTATGCAGAAAGAAAAATTAAGGTGTTACCAGCTTTCACATGGTTAGTTATAAATGCTAAAATTTTCCAGGTTACAGAGATCTGCTATTGATTTCATGTTATAAAACAAAACACTTCTGTGGCAATGAATGCTAAATGCAAGACAGATCAAAATCTGCTAGTTACGTAACTTATCCTTCTCATTTCATGATTTATGACTACTATTAAACCAAAATTAAGCTCTTGAAGAAGAAATGACTTCCATAAAAATCTGAAAAGTCTGACTGTCTAAAGTATGAAAAAAAAATAATTTCTTCACACAAAACACTGAGGCACTTCCAATATTTTTACTGGCAACAAGCAGGATTTTTGCCAATTATTATGGATGAAAACCAAAATTTCTTAGTAACTCCTTCTGACAACTACTTGGCTTTTTTCTGTTTCTATACTACATTTTCATCCAGGTACTGTGAAGTTTAATTTGTGGATAAACTCCATGCAGAACTACAGTTGATTTCACCTGAGTGCTTACATGCAAAAACCTCTGTGTTTTGATGATTCTGTAGAGCAGAAATAATACTTCTTGAGTGGTAGACAGATTATCTGCAGAATTTATTAGAGCTCACAAAGCATAACTACCTCTAATATTAAAAAATATTTAATATACATGTGGTGGTCACACAGAGAAAATAAATTTATTTAGGTACTTTTATGTAATTACATAAAACAACTCTCTTATCCTGAAGTTTGACTTTTAAAACAATTTAATTTAGATCTAATTTCACACTGAACCTCTGTAAAACGCTTTCATATGCTCCACTGGGAATTTCAACTACATTTGTAGTCTGCCAGCATTCATGATTTTGGCAGCTTCCTACAGAAAGTTGGTATAGTAACTGCAAAGTAATGAGAGAGCTGCAAATGGACACACATTGCTAGACGAAACCAGAGGTATTTGAGAGACCTTCACCCGGGATAAAGAGTTTGACTTTCTCTGTTTGTTAGCAGGAATTAGAGATCAATGCTAGAAGAAAAAACAGAGTTAAAAAACACATTACATTTACTACTGAATGTATTACTGCTGTGTTTTCACAGTGGGCTTGTGTAAGTAGACACACAAGAAGTGGTAAAGTACTAGAAATATGATAAGCTAGTTTGTATTTTTTTCACCCGGGATAAAGAGTTTGACTTTCTCTGTTTGTTAGCAGGAATTAGAGATCAATGCTAGAAGAAAAAACAGAGTTAAAAAACACATTACATTTACTACTGAATGTATTACTGCTGTGTTTTCACAGTGGGCTTGTGTAAGTAGACACACAAGAAGTGGTAAAGTACTAGAAATATGATAAGCTAGTTTGTATTTTTTGTAGTTTAAATACTCCTGCTGATTTTTTGGAGGGTGCATGGAAAGAAACTCTAACCGATTTCATTTGCTTTAAGAAATAGCTAGTCTGCCAGTAAAAACAACTGCATAGTAGCAGTTTCCTTACACACAACGGAATTAGTGACTTCCCTAAGCAATCCAAGAAGAAAAGGCATACTTTTCAAATTGTAAACTTAATTTTCAAGATTTCAAATTGAAACAGAAAAAGACCCATGGAAATGTCATTGACTTTCAGTCTGTATTTGTTTTTCTGCAGAATCTAACATGACTAGTTTGGATTAAGGAAACTCTCTGTTTTTAGAATTTTTCTTTGTATCGCATGAAAGGTAATCCTACAACATATCCTAAGCCTGAAAGATACCATATCCACTGAAAGGGATGGTATTAAGCAAAATACAGTTTCATCAACTGATATCACAAATAAGATGTACCTCACTTTTAACTCAATACAAATTTACACACTGTACTGACAGAGACTAAACACCTTTTTAAAGGTTTACTTATCAAAGATTGTCGTTATTCAATAACCAAAATTGTTGTCAATTTCATACCTATGAGTGAAAATTTGTGTATACTTGATAATAAGTGGGTTTTTTGTTGTGTTAGGAAGATTTAAGCTCTTAATTAATCTCTATTTAGTGACACCAAAACAAAGCAAGAATGTTAATAGATTTATGAATAGAGCATTCTTTTATAAAAACACAATCTCAAAAGCAATTGCTTAAAAACCTGCTTTGACCAATAAATATTATTTTAAAATATAAAACAAGTAATGGAATACTTTAAGGTCATCAAGGAAAGCTTCTGAATAAGTACCTCAAGAAAAAATGTAACTATAATTCAACAATCTAGACAAATTTAAAAAAATTACAGGATGCTATTATTGCCCATAAGAACTATTCTATCTGTTCCTGCTTCTGAAACCCTTGGAAAGCACAGGTGCAGACTTACTTGTCCTTGCTGGTAAGCTGTCCTTGTGAGACAAAAGAAACAGCAGGGACAAGCAACAGAGAGTGATTTACAGACAACCCTACAGAGTAAAGCATAAGGTATAATTCTAAACAGGTTTAAGATTTCAACTGACAATAATATTTGTGAATGTTTCTGGTACAAGTTGTATATTTCATATATTTGCTTTACTGTTGCATTTTATACCTAGAGTAACTTAAATGATTTATGTTTGTTGTAATAATTGTTTAACTTCTCAATAATCTGGTCTAATTTTGCATTACACTTTTTATCTCTTATGTACATTTCATACACAGATCACTGTGGTTAATAAGATCCAATGAACAATAGAGGAGTTTTGTTCTCTGTTGCAAAAAACCAAAAATCTGGAGCTTTTTTTTCCCCTGCCTTTGCACTTTGCCTGCAGTGCAACAGTTTTCTATTCTGGGCAATAGAAAAGGAGCCCAAACATCAGAAGATGAACAGAAGCCACAATGGTCTATTTCTACACATTGACCTTTTCCAGATACAATTTCACTTCTGTTGATAGTAGAGCAACTCTAATCATATTGCACAATGACTCTCTGGCTCGCTTCTGTTAGATGAAACTTATTTCAAAACTTGCTGTCAATTTTCCTGCAGGTTAGGAGAATCGCTCTTTACGGCTTTTCTGGTTTCCTAGGACTTGAAAAGCAGGACTCCCTGTTTTTGGCCATGAATATGAGTCTCTGACATGGCATCAAAACACGAAGCCGATGACTGATTGAAGGAAGCTAGTATTGTTTAGTAAAAAAATTTTCACCTACTTGTAAGTTATCTGTAGTTTTAATTTCAGCTTTCTGTGGTTAAGTGTTCTGAGTGACCTCTACTGGTTGACTAGATAAAGTTAGCCCTGCACATCTTTTCCAAGACTTGCAATTCACTAAGACTGAGAGTAGTGTCAATTCCTTTGTTAAGAGAAAGTAAATTATCTGCTAAGAATCATGACATATAGCATCTATGAAGTACAGTTTAAGAAAATGCAGAATTACTTGCATGTTGGTAATTTTTAGTTTTAGTTGTAAATTCTAGAAAATGCCTTGACTACCCTGCTAACACTTAAGCATTTCAAAAGTTTGTAGCATATAAATTTAAAATAGTCTAAGTAAATTTACACAGAGGCAAGGCAAAATGAGGACTTTTCTGACAAAAAACAACTCTGCTTGCAAATGGAATGAATGAATCAGTAGCAAAATATTTGCCTCTACATAGCAAGGTTTAAAGATGTGGGAAATAAAATTTCCTCTAATACTGTAACTGCTCAGTAATTACTTTACTTCTGAAATTGGGTTCCTTCAAAAAAATAAATCACCTTGAGGCAAAGAAAAGTTTAGCCCACAGCTTAACATAGAAATTTAGCATCAAAAGAAGCTCAGTATAGTAAAAGAGTAACAGAAGGTTGGAATAGGTAAAAACTCAAAAATATGAGTTCCAATGAGTCACAATAAATTGTCATTATTTAGAAACTATTAAATAGTTACGAAAATAGTTCTGTTCTTGAGATAGAGTAGATTGGATTTAACTGCATTATCATGAAAAAAAATTAGCCATAGCATATTACACATCACAGACTCAAGATTCCATGAGGTCCACCTCTCCATGTGAAGGCAGTTGTACTCACAGGGTTTGACTTCATCTCCATAAGGCTGTCCAAAATACGTGTGACTGGCAGATTCTGTAAAACATAATGTAAAATTACTGGAATGCTGAAATGATTACTAAGAACTATTCATGGGCATACTATTATTTATGGAACAGTTTACTGATCATTTGAAATACTACCTTAAACAGTTTTCCTCTTACATTTTGTAAAGGTTAAGCATATTTATCATCACCTTAGTTACCTTTCTGTACAAAAAAAGCAACATTTGAGGAGCATCTAGCTAGGGATGAACATAAAGTGCAAAAAAAAGTATGAAGATAGGAACAGAGCTGTATTTGGGTATTACCAATATATGCAGACATGATCACATACGAATGAAAAAGTACTTTGCAGTTAAGGAAAGCTACAAGTTATACAACTAGTGTCTTTTTTGTTGTTGTTTTATAAAGTTAAGTGACTATTTGAAAGTGGCCATGTCATTATAAACACACTTTGATTTTCACGCACATGACAAGATTATGGTTGCTGTACATTACTTATGTGGGAAAACAAAAAATGCTTCAATTGTAACGGAACAGAAAACTTACACTTTCAGCCTTTCAATCACTCTAGAATAGATGCATTTAATACATACTGTTCTAAGTAAAGACACAGAAGGGCTGGTTTTTTTGTTTATGAAGGTATTTGAGTATTTCACAGCTGCTCTTTTCTATAATGCTGAAATCAGTCTTAATTGCATGGACTGGAATCTATTTCCTTACAAAGAAGCATTCAAAGAAAATGTGAACACTTTTTTACTTCTCTGAAAACTAGAACTTACGAAGTAATAGATCAATCCATCAGCAGAGATTTATGTCTATTTTGTACTGTGCAATGCATTTTATTAATATGACAAAGGTACTGAAATTTGTTTTTCCAAATGTTCACAACAGCCATGTGATAGACTTCTTTATTGTTTTTTAAACTTACTTGTTGCTTCAGTACAAAGTTCTTCACTCCTTCCATTACAAACTGTGATCCTGTATTCATAACACGTGAAAACAGACTGAAAAAAACAAAATAAAGATGATGTGTAAGACCTTTTTTTAATTTGCATTCTTAAGCTTTATACTGACATCCAAGTCCCATTAAGGCTGATGGGCCTTAAGTACCAAGTCATTCAAATTGTCATAAAATATATTCTTCAAACCACATGGCAACCAAGTGTAGGGTAAAACACCTATAATCTAGCAGTTAGGTCTTCACCTATCAATAGGAGTCTTGAGTTCTAGTCTTTAATCCACTCAACAGGATTTGAGTGCTCCTTTCAAGCAGGTGTCCTCATCACCAGAGTTAACAGAGATGCTGAGTGTCTCCAACAAACCAACCAGCAATTTTTCCAACGCAAACAGCACTGGAATTCTCTCTAACCATACTGTGCTATGGATCCCTTATGTAGGTGACAGTGCATTTCTGAAAGTAAAGTTGGTAGTGAGGACTTAAATCCTTTCAAGCATGGGAAGACCCAAGTCCTGTATCCTGTATGGGATATATGCACCCTTAGCACAGTAATTTTCCTCTCATGTCTTGAAATAAATAATTACACCTTTCAACAAGCAAGACAGACACTCAGTCCTGGATATTCTAATGAAAGAGCAACATGTTCTTGCATCCCTGACAGTCTCCAAGCCCAGGACAGAACAAATTTTGAATACACAGGGCTGTTCTTATCTTCTGCCGTCAACTACTACATTGTTCTACGTAAAGGCTGCCATAGATCCAGTTCCTGGTGCTGAATTCTTCTCCTGTGAGAGTGCATTTAATGTGCAGGTGCAGATAGCACCATATTAGGATACTTCAGTATCTTAGATGTAGTCACAGATCCTTTTACTTTCTTCTCTGTAAGTCCTATGCACTTAAGGGAGATAAGTGCTTGCAACTGTAACTTAAAACTTTTACAAATAGGGAGATATTTTGTTCTATGCCTTGTATAGCACTGATCACACTTTCTGTACTACTAAAATAAGCTAGAAGAACCCAAAGGCATACAGAAAATTAAGCAATAGCTTACCCCAAAGGTTTAGGCGTACTGTTTCCATAGCTGGTTGGAGCTGAAGCCATCTTAGTGAAAGCCCTGTGAAAGCAAGGATAGAAGCCAAACAGTTATCTCATGGCACATACTGCTGTAGAATGTTCCACTCTAGTTATCGGAAAGTGAAAAAACTTCTGCTTCTCAAACTCTTTTAGGAACTAAGGATTTATTATATGTACCCCTCTGGTCTACAAACAAAATAGGAATTAGTTTTTATACTTAAAAGACAGACTTTGTTTTGATACCATGTAAAACCAGAATAACTGATAGGCAGCATGACCCTTTGGTATGAACCAAAATAACCTGGAGTCTTAACTGGCACAACTTTTCATTTCATTCAGTAAGTTGTTTCTGTCCTGGATCATTAAGGACACTATTACATGTCACGTTCAGTAGTGTTCTGGCATTACTGAAGTTTACTTTTAAAATAAGACTTCCATGCACGACAGTAAAAAAATATACCAGAATGAATGTTTTAAGATAATTTATGATGTATGAGAGGTAACACGTAATTGTTTGATAACTGTTCTGTTAACTACTCAGTTAGCCTCATATAGGAGAAAAAAAGAAATTACTTACTTCCATTGTTTTATGTAGCTCAAAGGGGCAAGATTACAGCCTGCATCCATCAATGCTTTTTTATACTGCTCCAAATCAACCTGAAATTACGAAGTGGAGCATTACATAAGGTTGAAACTACTCTTAACTCCCTTGATGCTGAAAGACAAAGTATCCCCATCTAAATATTAAATAAGCAGTGCAGAGTTATAGCATTAACCAAAATTATAAATAATTATGAGTGCTAATCCCATCTCCTAACCAGTATGAAAATATAACTTAAAATAAAATTTGCTATGAGCAGCTCCCATTAAACTTCACAGTATTTGTGGAATTAAAACCTGTGCACTTTCAGATATGTGAAAAGTGTCTTACATCAGCAAAAAAACCTGACAGAATGCTGATTTCTGCAGAATGTGAAAATACCAGATAGTAAATGAAGAGGACTTAATATACATTTATATACATTTCTATTTGCCTAATCAATTTTTACATCATATAATATTTCTACAGTATAAGACAATTTTCCTTGAAATTAATCATCCTAAGTTCGAAAGTAATATTAAGAAATTGCTTCCTGAATTATTCAGATACTGGCACAGGATGCATTTCTCCTTTACTCATCTACTTAGTCAACTGACCCAGTTTCTCTTGAATATGCAAGGATGGAGTGAATGGAGTCATATTAACATCTTGCTTCATCTATTTCTATTAAGCAATGGAACAGAATAATAGAAAGCATGACAAGATGCATCTTGCAGTAACTCCGATCTAAATATTTCAATATATAATATTCCTTCTTACTAATTATTCATATCCTTTGAAACGGCAGCTAAAGCTTTGTAATACTACAGAATTAAAGTTTTAATATTTCCTGGGTATTTCATACTTCTCCTTGAACAGAAGCAGAAATATCTATTCAGTGCTGACAGAAAAATTCTATGTGGTGGAATCTAGTGTTGGAAGCTGTAAAGAACATACATACCTCTGAAGGTGCCTGAGCTGAGCTTATGTAATAGATGAGAAATAAACGCATTTTGTCTTCTGGAGTTCCCGCTGCAGTAAAAAAAAATAAAGAATTAAAAACTAGAATTGTAACTGTGCTGTTACATTAACTGCCCTTCAGTAACCATATATATGTACACGCAGACCTTTAGTTATGACAATAATTGTCATCTATAATGATGGCCTGGTTCAGCATATAAAATGGCAGAAAAACATACAGTAATTTTGTTAAAAGTTGGATTAGATTCTTTCTAAAGGTATTATACTTTCCCCTTTTGCTTGTAGCAAATATTATTCTTCAAGTAACACACTAAATAAGCTATGTAGTGGAATTGTGACACACAGCTTGGTGTTCTCCGTGAACTTGCTGAGGGAGCACTAGACCCCACTGTCCATGTTGCTGACAAAGATGCAGAACAATATCAGTCCCAGCATTGACCCCTGAGGGACACCACTCGTCACTGGTCTCCACAAGGGTAATGAGCCATTGACCACAACTGCCTGTGTGTGACCATCCAGCCACTTCTTTATCCACCGAGTGGTCCACCCATCAAATCCATGTCTCTCCAATTTAGAGGCAAGGATGTCATGGGGACAATGTAAAACACCTTGCATTAGTCCAGGTAGATAATGGCAGTTGCTCTGCCCCTGTCCACCAATGTTGTAGCCACATCACAGAAAGTCACCAAATCTGTCAGGCATGTTTTCTCCTCTGTAAAGCCATGTTGGCTTTTGTCACATGACTTGTTGGAGAAAAACACTTCCCATTCTTGGGAAGCATTATCAACATGGCAATCAAAATTAATCTCTCCAGATCAAAACAATGATGTGGCCATTACTTAGAACATTACCTTTGTTTTTTCTAGATGAGAATCACTATTAGTAATGACTGTAGTTTCAAATAAAGATTTCAGAAGTGCAAGTTCTGAAAGTGAACATTTAAAATTAAAATTCATTGAAAAAGCTGGATACTTTTTGTACAATATTTTATAAAAATGCACTTGCTTGTACTTGTGGTTTGGTTTGGCTTGTTTGGTTTAGGTTTTTTTCCCCACTATGGAATGTGGATTATGTCAGCAGGAGATCATCTAAACTGATCCGCAACTTTTGTTTGTAAGTGAGCATATATTTAACTTGGCAGAACTTTAGAGTAAGTGGAGCCATAAAGAACATTTATGCCTGTACAATCTTTTCTGGAAAGTAGGTTTTACTAACCTTTATCAAATACCATTAAGTCAAAAGACCAAGAACTGTAGAAACTTTTATAATCTAAACCAAAAGCCAGCTTTCAAGGTAGACATCCATCTGGAGTTCACTTGGGTAAAAAAAGCACTTAAACATTCTAAATACACAATGTAACTGACTTTGGTTTCTGTAACTAACTTGGAAACTGGTTTTCTAGGATGTGACAAACAGCTATAAGACTCAGGTCAGTTGCCTGCAAATCGTTCACTATTTTGTTATGGGGTATGGTTGTGACAGTACATAGAGGGAGACTGCTAAATGTTCTGAAGAAAAGTTAACTTGGTAAACCTAGAACAGATCAATTTTATTTTCCACTCAAAAACCTGCAGGCAGCCTTAGGGCTACTGATTAATAACTAGAGCAAAGCAAACCCCGAAGCTCCCATTTTATTACTATCCAGGATACAATAATACCCACTGAACCATGAGGTAGCTAATAGCCCTGAGTGGTAGATTAGCACAACACAGTAAGAAATGGGAGGTTGAAGCCTGAAGCTGTTAAGGGGTCATGTCTAAGTGCTCTCACAAAGAGAGCAATGATATCTGCAGATATCATTGCCCACAGGACAGGTATCCCCACAGATAATGCAAAGAAGTAGTTCACCACTGGAAACACTGGAAGACTTGATGTATTCTTCCTTCAGAATTTTTTCTGCTGGTATTTCTCAGTGAATCACACAATAGGCAACTGGACAGTTTTACAAGACTGTGCCCAGAAATAATCACTGTGATTTAGTTTAAATCCTTTTGTCATATAAACTTATCTTAAACCTAGACAACACACATAAAATGCTAATGCACCACTGTGAAAACCTGAATACTTAGCTTATGAAGAAAACCTCTAGCATGTAAATCTAATCTTTCTCTTGCATAAAACACAGGAACCTTGCTATTGGGAATGTTGGTATGATACATCAGGCATGGAAAACAATTTGCTTTATACTGCAATCTAAAAAGCCATAAAAAATGTGGATTCAGGTAAAAAAGTAATTAATCGGGTAGAAAATACAAGCAAGCATAATAATTTCTGTTTTCATATCTAAGTTAATGCAAACATAAAAGCTGAAATCAAAATAGTACAGGAAAAGTTAATTCTGAACATGGAAAAGGAGTAGTTTGCATTGATGCCTAATAAAAGTATATATAATACATATTCTTATTAGCTCCATATTAAAAATTAATGTATGTGCTGAATTACACTGATGCTTGACATTAGATTTTCTGAAAGTTTGTTAGTTTCTATACTTGATCCAATATGAGATCTGTAAAATTTTAGTTTGGATTTCTACCAACTATGCACTATTTCTTTTACTGTCTTTTGATTATATAGCACAGACATTAATAAAAGATTTTTTAAAAGTCAGCAGGATGTATATATACTCTATTTCTATAAACATGAATCATTATAGAAACTCCAAGTCCAGTATGTAGCTAGAAGACTGCATGCATAAGCATGCAGTAACAAAACATTTTCTTATAGACCATACTGGGAAAAGAGCAAGAACCCTGGACCTCTAAATGCTTGATGTTTGCCAATATACTGGCCAATATGCAGACAAGTCAGAGAACATAACTTAAGTTTTACAATCTCTCTCTGCAGGTTATTTTGTTCCAGCCAACTGGTATCAGAAGATAGTGAAATCCATCAGAAGGTTAAGACATTCTTCAGGTTTGATAGATTGAAATGAGAGTTGATGTGATGATACTACAAAAAGTTGAGAACCCATTTGGGTCTCAGCCTTTCACAGAAAGACCCCTAGTGACTCTTGATAATAGAGAACCTGAGTATCCCCCAGTGTGCAACACTCTGTTATGTATGAACTGTATATGAAACAGAAGCTGGGATGCATTGCTCTTCGATTATGAAAACAGACATGCCACAGCTGGGTCAATGCATGCAAAACTTCAGATGAGTCTCAGTGAACTGGCCAATTTATGTCTTGCTTCCCTTCCCTCCATCTCTGCCCATTCATCTCTTTCCTCACACAAGCACGAGCTACCTCCATTAAGCCCCTTGAGCTAACGAAAAGTTGCTAATATTTTGGATATTACTCAACTGACATACTCAACTCTCTACACTGCTACTGAAGATCAGTCAAAAGCTGTTTTCTTTACAAGTCTTGCATAAGTTGCACATAAGCTCTTTACCAACCCTGAAGTCCAAGCACGTACAAATTTATTGTGTATCTTAACAAATTTTATACCAAGTTCAGATTTAAAGTACTCACCATCCGGGTCAGAAATCATGTCCAGAAGAGATTTATCCAGAGTGGATTTGCTCATTATTTTTTCCTCATATTCAAAATACACATCCAGCTTTCGACTCTGTTTAAGAGTAAGTGTTAGGGTTAATATCTTAACACTGTGAAAGAATATTTATTTCCTCTTTAAAAAGGTATGTAGTTTTAGTTATCAAGACTGGTTATAAACTTTAATTTTTTAATAAATTATCAATAAAAATAACTAATCCTTGCATTATAACATACTTCTATTAACACTTAGAAAGTTGATGTGTATTTAATTATCATATTAAAAGTGAAAATGCAAGTTAAGCAAGGGATGTCTGACATGAATACTGAACTGGAAGAGAAGCTTTGTTTTCAACTATGGTTTTGCCATAGCTGAAAACTACATGCCATCATACATAGTGCTGTGTTGTAAAAGGAAAAAATAATGGTCAAATGAATATTATGTCAGTTTTATGCTGAACCTCAGGTCTCCCAGTCAACAAGACAATTATTCAATGCAGACGAATGTGGGAAATTCCTTTATACATTAAGGCATCATCCCAGAGAAAAGTTGGCAACTGCCAACTTGGGCTGGTACTGAAATAGTAACTCAGATCAAAGGCTTGCAGCAATTAATTCACACCAAAGATGGAGAAGTTTATAATTAGATTATCTTGCTAACACTGGAAAAGAAGTCTCTCATTACACAGTGACACATATAGATCTTGTGAAAATCCTTTTTTAAGGAGCGACAAAATTACCTAGGAGAAAACTTTATGGAAGACATCACATGGCCATGCAACTAATGACTGCATTGCAGCACATACGCACAAACAGCCAAGCTTGCACCATACGTGGACTTCAAATCCAAAATCAGAATGCAGTCCAAAACATATTTTAAAAAGTTTTATTACAATGCAGATCACTATGTGTGCTTGAACATCAACATGTAGCACCACAACAAATATTACAACCACTCAGTTTACAAAACCTTAATAACTAAATCCTGGTGTTTGGACACATTCTCCTATGTACTGGCTAAAAAGGAGACTGGTAGAGTGGATCTCCATCACGCTGCTTTGGAAGTGTTTCAGCTCCACATCATACCCATTGAGAGACTGAAATGACATTGCCAGAGTAAGGCAAGAGTCACCTATGCTTTTCTTGGGTTAAGTGATTCAGGAAATTTCGCCCAATAGTGCCAAAGCGTGAGAAACTGCTATGGCACCTTCTACCCAGTACAGCGGCTGCTGTAACAACAGCAACATAAAAACTTCAGAAGTCTTGTTTCCACATGTCTCCAAATTCCACTAAAATTATTCCCGAGATCACAAAATAGTTATTTCACCACCCCTCAAAAAAAAAAAAGGTAGTTCTCTAGCCTCAGGATATTACAATATTTGACCTTCTGAGTACTGTAAGTTCATCAAAAAAAGAGCTGGAGAGGAGAATTGAAAATAAAAGAGAAGATGTAAGTCACAAGAATGCTTTTATATTCAAAGCATTTGGCGATCAGCTTTTGATACAGGTAGCCATGCAATACCGTTCACTCATTGTTTACTGAACTCCTTGAGAAGAGCAGTTATATGCAAAGCAGCAACTTAATTTATAGACTTTGTGAAACCTTGTAATTAGGAGTTTATAAATTACCGTGAAGAGTGCTCAAAAGGTTGACACTTTGCAACTTTTAGGGGCAGAAGAACATCTTTTCTTGATTGTCATAGTAACTGTGACTACACAGAAGGTGCATGAAGTGGAAAAAACCCAAACAAGCTAGAGCTTCTTTCAAGCTATATTTACCCTGAGCTCATTTTGGAAGAGCAGTCACAGCCAAATTTTTGTGGTTACCCTACTACAAAACCTTGGATTAATCCTGTAGTTAGCCAAAGTTAATGTGATTATCAGTGGTTAAGTTACACTAGTTTAAAATCTGAATAGTACTAAACTACTAGCCCTTTTCCAAGTCAGATGCAATTTGCTATCTGGCACATCAGACATGTTCTGAGATGTCAGTTCTACAGCATCTTGGAGACTATCAGCATTATAGTTTCCTAAAATCTCTCTAGAGAGGTAAAGCAGTTGCAAAGAAATGACTACAATTTTTCTAGCCTTTCCAGTACATTACTTGCTTTTTGTGTTTTTACTACATTTTTATCTCCTTACATGAAACTAAATTCAATGTTTGTAAGTCTAAAATATTTTTCCCAAAAGGCATCCAATAAATGAAAGATTGTCTTGAAATGTGGAAACTTAAATCTTATTAAGATAAATATATTATTGTTGAATTTGGCAATGCCCATATTATCTTAGCTAGTGATCTGTTTAAGACAAATTTATATATAATTTATGGCATGTAAAAATGTACAACACTAATTCTATTTGTTAACAGATCAACTTTCACCAAAAATTATGTAATTCAAATACAAATTACTTTCAATTGTACGAACAGATTCACAATTGTTAATTTACTTGGAGCACAACCTAGGTAAAATTCTCAGGCATGTGCAAATTTATGACTGTTTGACTAAGACAGTCGAACAGAACAGATTAACAGCAGCAAAGAAAATTCACTGGTTGTATATATGAGCTATACTTTGAGCCTAAATGCAAAATATTAATGGTACAAGTACACTCATTCACTCTCTTCAAAGATTTTGCACAATTACTTTTTCAGTGTGAACTTAGCGCTTTTTGGGGAAAAAACCTCAAACTGAAATCTTCAGGTACAAACATTTTTTTCTATTCACAATAGGGACATCAGAGGTAAGCAGCAATGTAAAATTTTGGAGACTCTTTTTGATGTGATGAACTAAAGACATGGATCAGTAATATAAGTCCATTCATCTGCTTCGTCACTAGATAACTAAATTAAAGTTATTAGCAAATATGCTAATTAGTGCATACTTTTCTTATGCTGGTTTGCTAGGAATTAGGTGGACACCTAATCAAATTTCATATGGCTTACTGAATAGCCTTAAACACTCTTAGTTACCTTTTGATAGATATCCCAGATATGCCACATGAATGAGACAGTTACTTCCCAAAGAGCCAACTTGTCTGAGAAGTGCAGATAGGAAGCAGATGTCCCATTTAAGTGCAATTTTGCTCACTCAATGGCAAACTCACAGACATGCCAAGAGGAAAAGCTGGGGAATAGGAGCTAAACAATCCTGTAGATTCAATACATAAACACAGCAAAGAAGAGGTTCTTATGGGTGCCAAACTGGCAAGCAAGGTGAAGAAAAACGATAATAAAATAAAGACGCATTTACATTTACAGTTACTGCTTTTCTGCTTCCTGCTCTTGATTTCCTAGTATGACATCTTGTTTCATACCAGCCTCATTCAGGAGATCTTTCTGGCTGCCATTTCAGAGACAGGATCTGTATTGCAGTTGAAGTGCCACACTTTGGTTTGCTTTTTTTTAAAATGCATTTGTAAAAGCTTTCAACTTAGCATCTTTAGAAACAGGCTGTTTGCAAGCCAAAACTTATTTTAGGGAAAAATTACCGAAGTGCATGGGAAAGTCTACTTGAGCACTATACTCCAAAATGAACACAATATTTCTTCTTTTTTTAAGCAAAAAAGTAGAAGTAGCACCCATTGAAATCTCTTAGAGGGTCATTTTTGTAAAGATTTGTTGGAAACTCTCCTATCTCCTTAACAATACAAAAGTCCTTCATTTTACGGGAGAGAGAGAACATGCAGGAGAAGCGAGAACAAATTTTCTAAGAATTTCTCAAAGTTGCTGACAGAAAACAACCAGAAATAACAGCCCCCAAAATGAGTAAGGCTGGTCAGGTAATTATAGTGTGCTCCTATCAAGAGGAAGAGAAAGTCTCGAAGGCGGCTGGAAGTCACAGCCAGTTCCCTCTCACTGAACTGCACAGAATGATGATGGAAAGGTCACTGTAACTAAACACAGAAAAGGCTGTTTTTACTGGAAGGTGAGTGAATTCTCAGTTCTGAACTACAGAAAGCCAGCCTGGATCACTGTGACATACATATTTCACAAACCCATACCATTTCCGTTTACATGGTATAAGACAAAAATGGAACCTAATTTCAAACAGAGATAGTGGAATTCCTTTACAAAATGTGAGTTTGATAATTTGAATTGTTATAAGAATATATAAATAAGAATAAATAAGAAAATTAAATAATAAGTAAATAAGTAAGAAAAAATTATAGGAATAAAAAAAAAACCCTAAACCAAACAAGTGCAAGTAATTTAAGATAGATAATAATTCACACAAAAATCTTCCACTTAAATTCACATGTATGAAATTCTGGCAAGATGTTATTGAATCTATCCCCTCTTCAACCCATCATTTTAGAAAAGTATACATACACACCTTTTTATATGTCATGATTTAACATACTTCAGTAATCCTAGGATTTTTATTAGAATGACACACAAATATAAGCATTACTTGAAATTCTAAAGCAGCTAGATGGATACTCATAATTCTAGCCCTAAATCTATTATCAGCTGGGTCCAGTCTTTCAGTCATCAGCTCCAGCAGACAAAATGCAATCAATGCAAAACAAGGATGCATTCGTTCTAAGCACTGATAATAAAGACTTGATGGTTCACTTCATGAAAAAAAGTGATGCATACTTTCCATTACTTTACTGAACACTTAGATAAGCCAGAAAACTGACAGGACCCCTAAGTATGTGATTAATTTCTGTTTTCCTCTTGCTGTGTCTTAGAAAATGATCCAACAGAATGTGGAAAGCAGCTGCAGTCTGACCATTAAAATGTGATCACAAGAAAAATTAAATTCACTTAGTGTGTCTCAAGCAGGTCTTGTGGCACTTGCACTGATCCTCATATATGTAGTGAAGAAAAATGCTCAAATATTTAATATAGTAAAAAAACATAATGGACAATGCAAACAGTCCATTTTAAAATATGAATACACTTCCAGACTATTTCAAAAGTGAAAACATAGTATCCTGAAGAACAGCATGCTGCCTCACTAGCTCCTCATGACCTTGGCACTTGCAAAAAAAATTCTCTTATCCTAATCTGGTTTAATTATTTAACGGTATATAAAACCTATTACCCACAGCCTCAAGGTGCCATCAAAATCTCTTTTAAAAGTACTAGCTGAGCCCCTGACCTTTCTGAGAGTAATTTTGAGGAATCCATTAGGTAGTATAACATCCTGCAAGTTAAAATTCCAGAGCTCAAGATAGAAAGATACGTTTTCTACCACTGGATGGAGAAAAGAGAGGAGAGAATGGTCAGAAGAAAGCAGCTGGAACAAACTTTACATTCACTCTGACAAAAGGCTTTAGTCTAGGCAAAGTTCAAAAGAAAAACCACGTGCTTCTGTGTTAGTTTAAGATAGTTTCCTCAACATCTGAAGTGATGCTTTCTAAATCAAAAGAAAAGATGATAGAGATGCACATCTAATCAATATAATGAAGAAACCACATGGTCATTTGTGCCACAATCTTCTTTGACAGCTACACAATAAGCAGTACCACAATTAAGAATCATGGAGAAATGGATCACCACTCCCAGTGAACCCTCTTATAGCAGGCTCTCTGTCAGAGGAGCAAGCCAATGGGCTAGTTGAGTGCTATGGCACTCTATAGAGGGACCCTAACCTTAACCCTAACCCTAACCCTAACCTAAAGGTGTAATTCCTTGCACCTTTAGGTAACTGACAAGTGTGTTGCTGTCACCTAATGGAGAATGAACTAGTGCATCTGACTCCAGTCCATTGCCAATAGGACACTTGCAATCAAAACTGATGTTACTGTCATTCTACATCTTGCTCTGAAACCTGGTTCCCATCCAACAAATAATCTATAAAATAGTACTGGTGTAGGCCTTCCATTACCGTGTCAGTTTCTTTCTTCAAAAAGTGAATTTACACATAAGGCATCAAAATATCGACATTGTTGACTTCTATTTTTTCAGTGGTATCAATGTATGGCTTTTAAATAGTCAGATATGAAAATGGACATTCCTAATACTGCAAAAGCATATAAACTAGTCTCTACACTAATGAGCTAAACATAGAGACACACTTATATTTCTTACCCAACTTCATAAATTAATTTATTAATGAAATTTCAGAATGAATCCTTTGTTCATATATAGTACTTTGAAAAATTCAATACCAATAATAACTGAGGACAGATCTTATGCCCTTTACAAATGCTAAAGCTAGCTTCAAAACACATTGCCTTCCATGAGTTATAAATAACTTGGGATAAAATTTTAGAGTTATTTTCAGTGAGACTTGGTGCTTGAACCACTTTCCAAAACAGAATTTCAATGTTTCTGAAAGCCTCATCTATAATTTCTGTTCTCATACTGTGAAAACAGATTAATTTTCCAAGTTATCCTAGCAGTAACCATGGTTTTCACTTGATACTAAACCATCTGCAAGTTCTCTGACACAAGAGCAGCAGACTTAAACTGGAAAGAGGACAAGCATCTGTCTGAAGTGCTTAAATTATGCACAACACGTTTAACACAGACCCTGCTGGAAAGACCACTTCAGTAACTTGCATCATTATTGCCACTCCTCTGGGTACCATTTTTGATGAGGAGCAGTCCTTCTGATAAACACATACAGAACAGAAAATTGCTTAGACTGAAGTCATGGCTTCCCACGACACACCTCTAAAATAAATGAAACACTTCCACCATAATTTTATTTTAGAAAGACTTCGACCTGCAAGAATAGTTGTAGCCACCATTAAAAGAAACGGAGAGCATACTAGTAAATTCAGCTAAGGAAAATATTTGTATGTTTTCTTTGTTTTCCATGCAGAGGCATTCAAAATTCATTTTCTCTCATCATTCAACTCTAGGTACACAGTGATTACTGAAAAGGTCACACAATGGAGAAGGATCACTTTCTCATCCGCACCAGCTCAAATATATTCCTCCAGGTAAGGAGCACTACTGATAGAAAACTGAAGTTGGAGAGCAATCATACCTTTATGTGCTCCAAAACCGCTGTTGCAACATTTGTATGAAGATCAATGAGCCTCTTCTTCTCCAGAAGTTCTGGAAGAGAGCTGAAGAGATTAAATACAAACTAACCTGCTGATTTGCACTGTTAGCTGAATTGTGCATTGCATGGAGTAGGCACACAAATATTTGCAGACTCATAGAACAGTCTGAGTTGGAAGGGACCTTTAAAGACTATTAAAATCGAAAATTATAGAATAGGATTGCAACTAAAAAATTATAAAGTATTGATGCAATGATTCTCATAACCATAACAGAATAACATAAGGACACCAGTCACATGTAATGCAGTAAACCAGGTTTTTACCTTGACTAGCAAAAGTATACATACTGTGGGTAACTCAATATTCCTATTGAAAGTCTGTGATCAACAAGTGCCCTGCTTACCTAAACAAACAATCTACTCTAATTATGGCTTTTGTAATCAAAATTTATTCATTTCTGATACATATAAAAGTGTCACTATCTGCCAAATAACATGTGCCAAAGAATATAAAAT